ATTGGTTTAATCAGAAAATTAATCAGAAAATCAATTAATGTAATACACTAAATAAGGAACAATAGAGGCATAAAAAGCATCTGAAAAATTCAATTCCATTCATGAAAAAAAAAACTCCAACAAACCTAGGAATAAAAGGAATTTTTCTCAATCTAATAAAAGGCAGCTACAGAAAACCTATAGCCAACATCATACCTAATGATGAAAGGCTGAATATCTTCTCCCTAAGATTGGGAACAAGGAAGGATATGTATTCTCACCCACCTCCATTCAAGGTTTACTAGAGATTCTAGCCAACATAATCAGGCAAGAAAAAGACAAGTAATCAAGATTGGAAAGAAGTAAGACTTTCTGTATTCACAAATGACACAATCCTGTAGGCAGCAAATATTAAAGAATGTACACTCACACACATACACTCACACTCTCTCTCTCTCTCACACATACCCCCCAGACAAGAACGAATAAATGAGCTCAGGAAGGTTGCAGGATACAAAGCCAATATACAAAAATAAATTATACATATACTATCAATGAACAATTCAAAAATGACATTAAGGAAAAAACTCCATTCACAATTGCACCTAAAAGAACTAAAAATGTAGGAATAAATTTAACAGAAGATTTGTAAACTGAAAACAATGTTTTGAAAGTAATGTTTTATACACGCTGAGAGAAACTAATCAAGATATAAACAAACAAACATTCCATGTTCACAGATTCGCAGACTCAATATAAGCATGGCAATTCTCTCCAAATTCATCTACAGATTTAACACAATCCCTATAAAAATCCCAAAAGGCATTTTTGCAGAAGTGGATAAACTGACCTTAAAATTTATGTGGATATGGAAAGGACTCAGAATACCCAAAAAATTTTTGAAAAAGAACAAAATTGAAGAGCTTAACAGTTTCATATTTGAAAGTTTGTTATAAGTAAAGCCACAGTAATTAAGACCACTGGCAGTGATACAAGGACACTCAGTATACAAACAACCTTATGTTTATAGTCAACTATTTTCAAAAAAAGATGCTAAAGCATTCATTGGAAAAAGGACAGTCTTCAACAGTTCTAGAACTATTAAATGGTATTAAAATTATCCATGCAAAAAGTCAGATTGAGACCCTGGACTCACCCCACACCCAAAACAGATCATAGCGCTAACTCTAAGAGTTAAAGTACAAAACTTCTAGAAGAAAACATAGGAGAAAAATTTTATTATTTTGGATTAAAGAATTCTTAGATAAGATGCCAAAAACACCACAAATATGTGTGTGTATATATGCATATATATGTATACATGTGTCTATGTATATATATGCATATATATGTATATATGTGTGTATATATGTGTGTGTATATATATCAATTGGACTTCATTAAAACTAAAGATTTTGTGCTTCAAAAGACATTTAAAAAATCAAAGACAAGCCACAGACTTAGAGAAAACATTTGCAATTCATATATTTGATAAAGGGCTTGTATTTAGACTATATAAAGAACTCTTACAATCAGGTACAGTGGCTCACACCTGTAATCCCAGCACTTTCGGAGGTCAATGCAGGAGCACTGCTTGAAGCTAGGAGTTCTAGATCAGCCTGGGCAACAGAGCGAGACCCTGTTTCTGCAAAAAATTTAAAAATTAGCTGGGCATGGTGGCATGTGCCTGTAATCCCAGCTTCTCAGGAGGCTGAGGTGGGAGGTTCACTTTAGGCCAGGAGGTCAAGGCTGCAGCGAGCCATGATTGTGATGCTGCACTCCACTGGGTGACAGAGCCAAGACCCTGTCTCTAATTAAAATAAATAAATTTTTTAAAAAGAACTTCTTACAACTCAATAAGACAACCAATTAAAGACTGAGCCAAAGATTTGAATAGATACTTCCAAGAAGATGTAAATAGAACTAAAAGCACATGAAAAGACCTTCAACATCATTAGTCACTAGAGAAATGTAAATTAAAACAATTATTATATTCCACAGCCACTAGAAAGGCTATAATAAAAAAGACAAAATAGTAACAATGCTGCCAAAGATGTGGAGAAACTGGAAATCTCAAACACTGCTGATGGGAATATCAAATTATACAACCTCTTTGAAAAACTGTGCAATTTCTTAAAAAGTTAAACCTAAATTCACCATCCAACAAAACAATTCCACTCCTAGGTATTTACCCTAAATAAATAAAAACACATATTCACACACAGACTGATATATGAATGTTCATAGTAACATTATTCACTATAGCCTGAACAATTCAGGGTCCATCAATTTGTGAATGAATAAGCAAAATGTGGTGTATCCATACAATGGAATACTATGCAGCAATAAGAAAAAACAAGTTACATATGATGCATAATTGTTAAGAAATGGATGAACCTCAAAAACCTTGTATCAAAAGGTAAATGCAAAACACTACATATTGTATGATTCTATTAATCATTCAGAAAAGAGAACTCTATAGAGAAACCATATTAGTTAAGGTGTCCTGGGGTTAGGAATAGGAACAGGAATTTACTGTAAATAGGCACAAGGAATGTTTTTAAAATAGGCACAAGGGATGTTTTTAAAATAATGGAAATGTTCTACAATTGAGTTGTGGTCAACCTGGCACAACTCAAAATCTACTAAAAAACCCCAAAGTGCATACTGTAAAGTGGATGTTATGGCATGTAAATAACCCTCAATAAAGCTGTTAGATACAAATGAAACCAAAGTAATATAAACACGACAATAAAGTGATAATAGTACACACTTTTTGAGGCATGAGAATCGCTTGAACGCAGGAGGCTGAGATCGCAGTAAGCCGAGACTGCACCACTGCACTCTGGGTAACAGTGACAGTCTCAAAAAAAAAAAGGGAAAAAGAAAATACACATTTGCTGTGAGTATAGAATATAGAAGAGTTAAACCAGTAACTAAAAATATTGGTTCTTTATAGTAGGTAGGTGGGGATTTGTGCAAGAGACATAGAAAGGTTAAACAAGAAACTAGAGTTTACTATGGGCAGGCGGGAAAGTGATAGAAAGCAGCTGGGAATGGGAATGGGGTGGGAGGAAAGAGGTACGAACAACACTTCTCCATGTATATCCTTTTACAAAGCTCAGACTCTGAGAACCACCTGAGTGTTTCACATATTTTTCACATACTGAAAAAATAAATCATTAAAATCAACCAAGATGTGGAGAGAACCCTCAAACAGTAAAAAATGGACCAAGAGTACAAATCAGTCCACAGATCAGAGAGGGTGGGAAAGAAAAGGACCTAAGGAACTTCTTTGAAAAACTGTTTCTTTACTGATCAAACAAATCCAAACTAAGGAACATCCTCAAAATATCCCACCAGTACTCTTCAAAAATATCAAAGTTATGAAAGACAAACTGAGGAACTGTCTGAGACTGGAGGAAAGACTAAGGAGCAGTAAGTAACAAATAAACACAAGATGGAGTCATAGACAAGATCTGGGGAACAGAAGAACACTAGTTCTTTTTCTAATGGAAAATTTGGTGGAAAAGTTGGTGAAATTCAAGTAAGACCTGTAGTTTAGGTAATGCCATTGCACCAACATAAATTTCCTGATTTGGATAATAATATTATGGTTCTATGTTGTAATACTGAGGGAGGCTGAATGAAATGAGGGTATATGGGAACTCTTGGTACTATTTTGTGCATTTGTTCTGAAGGACTAAAGTTATTATATTTCAAAATAGAAAGTTTAAAAGAGAATCTCTTGGTCTGTTTTATAACGGTTTAAAACAGAACAGGTAAGACCAACTTCATTTTGTCCCAAACTTTAATATAAATAAGTTATAATTTTAAATTACAATTTAATACTTTGTTAGAAGACTGAAGCTATGAAATGGGGCAACACTATTTCATGGTCTCCAGAGCAGAACATGCAAAAATGTGTTATCAAACACTTCTTCTCCTACCGTCTTGTTCTATGAGGGAAAACCTATCTCAAAGATGTAACATAGGCTCAAAATCAAGTTTGTGAACATGAAAAATTATTTAATGACAGGCGTCTTGAAATTACAAATCTGTTAAGAACACCACAATAATCCTACAGTAAAGTTTGTTTCTGGGAAAAAAAATCTAGCACAGAAAGGCTCGTGAATAGCAATTCCTAACGGGAGCACCTTTGTGTGTGTAATTTCTGCTTTGGTTTTAGTGGGGGTTGGGGCATGAACTGAAAGAAATACTTTTTAACTACAAAATATATGCACAGTTGATCTAAATTTACTAAAGAAGAAATCTACATTTTTAGGTGATCTTTCAAAATCAGTTGTTGGTTTGAATTATCCATTAACTAGTGGGGATTCAAGTTTGCCCCCTTGTCATTAAAATACATATTCATAAAACTTTAAAGTTACACTGCTCTAGTTACAAATAGCTTCTACTTTTCTAGGACATAATTTCACTTTAAGAAGAATTCATTAAAGAAGCTATAAATAACCTTTAAATATTTAGCCATGAATAGAGGGTGGACTGGCATTGATGGCTTATTTTAGTACTAACACAGAATGCTTATTTATTTATTTTTTTGAGACGGAGTCTGGCTCTGTTGCCCAGGCTGGAGTGCAATGGCCGGATCTCAGCTCACTGCAAGCTCCGCCTCCCGGGTTTACGCCATTCTCCTGGCTCAGCCTCCCGGGTAGCTGGGACTACAGACGCCCGCCACCTCGCCCGGCTAGTTTTTTGTAGTTTTTTTTTTTTCAGCAGAGACGGGGTTTCACCGTGTTAGCCAGGATGGTCTGGATCTCCTGACCTCGTGATCCGCCCGTCTCGGCCTCCCAAAGTGCTGGGATTACAGCTTGAGACACCGCGCCCGGCCCAGAATGCTTTTTAAAAGCTACATTTTAGCATGCATCGAGCTAATGATTAACTTGTAGTGTTATTTGCAATGTTAGAAAAAATTTTATCTTTGAGGAGTTGTGCTCAAAGTAAATGTGTTATTTCAGTTAGTAGGAAAGTAGCCTTAAAGAATGCAAATGTTGGGAAGATGAAATTGAAAGCAATTTTTATTTAAAACGTTTAAACATCTAGACCTTTCCTTGTCTCCCAAAACATAATCCCAGTGAAACTGCAAAAACTAAGGGAGAAGTGTCTGAGGAACTGAAAGAATTCCAGATCTGTTGTGTGATACATGTAGCACATACATGAATCAAGGACCTATCTGTACTCAATTTTGAATCATAAAGTTCACAACATTTTTGAGACCAAGTTTCATAAAGTTTTTACTGGAAAAAAAAAGTTTTACAAAATATCTTTCCAAAGAAATTTTCCCATAGAGTACAATTAATTCATGTAGCTTTCTTCCTTAAAGATTACAGTATGACATTCAGAGGGGCGAGGTTTCTTGAATAGCCAACTAGCTGCAAAACCTACAAGAGAAGTAGATTTTTTTAAAGTGCCTTTAAAATGTGAAAGCAAGTAATATAATTGTTGAATCTATTTGAAATTTTAAAATTTTCTTTAAAATGGTCCATATGGTATGCACAATATCACAGCTGGCACAAAACTGCCTGTATTTAGTTTGAAACACAAAAACAATGCATATGAACAGTATTCTTTGAAAAGTAATTCAAAATGCTGCCACTGCATCATAAAGGCAAACTTAGACAAGAATGTTGACAGTATTCAGAGAATTAACAAAACAAGCCGAATATTAAAGTATTCAGACAGTTACTTTGATTTTTTCAAATACCAAGGGTAAAAGAACTTGTTGCCAAAGTAACTCAGGATACCTTATTTCAAACTACATGTAACCTATTTTGCTATAGATATTCTAAACAAATAAACAACTAGGTTTTAGGATGTAAATTCTCATTTCCTAGACAGGGCCTAGTTTTTCTGTTGCAATCTGGCAGCTTTAAACTTTGAAACCCTCTTTCCAGTTTCTTCTGATGCTTCCAACAGAACTTCCTTTCGTTCTGGAATAGTGGGTAGTGCAGGATGAGCAATGGCTGGGTGTGGTGTTAAGGAAGGCGATACAAATTCTTTTTCTATAACAGTTCCAGAAAAAGCCTAGAAAACAAAAGTCAGGTTATGGTAACAAAATGCAAGTAAGACACCCACAAAATCTTCCCATTCACTAATTTGACATTTCTTTTCATTAAAAGTATATTCACAAGATTTGTGGCTAGACAACACTACTACATCAAAATACCAATTGTTCAGAGAAACTAACACCATTAAATTTTAATTTCACCACCAAATAGAAGTAATTTTTACAGTATACATGCAAGAAAACAAAATGTAAAATGTAAATTTTATCTGGGAAAAAACAGAAATGGATAAATAAAAGGTCTTCAAACTTTCATACATTCATGTCCACCCCATGCTGTGAAAAATAACATATTAAAATAAAAATGCTATTAGGGTGTCAAACTCCGACTTCTGTACATCAGTTGATGAATGAGCTATCCTATGGTGGCCTTGCACCTGCTAGCCAATAGCTTAGTTTCACCCAGTACTGACATTTCTAACTGAAATCTCTTTGGTGGTGTTTATGCAATTATTTAAATATTTTATTGCATTTTGCCTCAATTTTAAGAGATCAGTGGAAGTTGAAAAATAAAAGTGCTGACACTAGTAGGAATAAGCACAGGTTTCAAAATTTTAAGATAATTAACTCTGACAGAAATCAGAAGTTCCACAAAAAAAGAAAATGACTCAATTTCAACTGGATGTTTGCTGCATTTAATCTGGTCAACTGTATGTTCAACTGGAACAGAATTAAACAATGTGCATAAATTGCTGGAAATATCTGCACATGTTGTTTTATACAAAAATAGGTAAGACCCAAGGAGGTTTTTTTTTTTTGTTTTTTTTTTTTGAGACAGAGTCTCCCTCTGTCACCCAGGCTGGAGTGCAGTGGTGCAATCTCACCTCACTGAAAGTTCCGCCTCCTGGGTTCACGCCATTCTCCTGCCTCAGCCTCCCGAGTAGCTGGCACTACAGGCGCCCACCACCACGCCCGGCTAATTTTTTTCTTTGTATTTTTTAGAAGAGACGGGGTTTCACTGTGTTAGCCAGGATGGTCTCAATCTCCTGATCTCGTGATCCGCCCGCCTCGGCCTCCCACAGTGCTGTGCTGAGATTACAGGCATCAGCCACCACGCCCGGCCAATCTTTTTTTTTTTTTTTTAAAGATTTCTGATATTTAGAACCTCCATCCTTCCCTCTACAAACCAAAATTTGACAGGTGAACTTTAATGTACACTTTGCTTTCCTCTGTCTACCAACTGCTCAAAATTAGTTAAAACAACATTATCACCTGAATAATTTAAAAAGCCACCTTCTTCTACCTTGCCCCACCACTGAAACAAAAACAAAGAAAGCCATCTCTCTCCTACATTATTTCTGGAGTTCAGCTGGTAAAAGCAGCTTAAAGCTTACTTTCCTAAAAACTCCACTTTATCACGATGAGCATAGAGCCTCTTCTCCTTCTTCTATTTAAAATGCTTTTGAAAAAGAGATATTTTAGCATTTAAAAAGATACTGAAAAGGGTATCTTCCAAAGCACTTACCATAATCATGAACTATTTCTTTGATGTTAAAAAATTTATAGCAACTACTATTAAACATTTCCATATAAAATGCAAAACTAGTAAGGGTGAAATAAAAAATAGGTTCCACACTCTAGCTGTACCATGATACACTAAGTCCTTACAAAAAACTAATATTCAAATATTTATCAGCAAAAGTCTATATCCATTACCTGTTTTCTAACAGTATGGAAGACAATTAAATAAGGTAAGATACTTTCCAGGTCACCTAAGATCATTATACTGAGAAGAGGCGAAGAAAACATTCTAGTCATAGGTACTGTCCCTAAATGCTACCAATCTCCACCCCCAATTACCATTTAATACACTGAGTATAATACCATTTAATAAAGGCAATGGAATTTTTATATAAGATTTATATATATGCATGCATCTCATTGTATATACAAACGTGTACATCCATTTGATCCAGGCATGGGTTCCCTAATCTTCCTACTTTTTAAATTGAAAACTTCAAATACTCACCAAAACACAAGAATGAAGAAATTAATAGCCTTATATTTCACAGACATCCTTATTTGGGGATTTCCTAACCTCCCCCGCACCGCCACCAAAAACTGTTAGAGGTGTGGTGGGTGAAAGTGTATTGAGTGTGCACTATTTTTTCTAAGGACATGGCCTACAGCTTTCATCAGATTATAAAACAATTCCATAATCCCCCAAGAGTTAAGTTTCACTGGTACAGGGCAAAATATTAGACTTTAGATAATTATCTGCTATGCATGAATTATTTTTCTTTAACTTAGCCAAGGTATTTAAGAGAGAATAGTGTAATCTGATCCTTACACTATCAGAAAATGACCTACTGGTAATTTATTTAAAATAAACTGCTAAATAATTTCCTAGCTACAAATGTAATACATAATGCCAAGTAAGATATTTTAAATTTCCCATTTTGCTGAAATAGACACAATAATGTGTCTATTAAGACAAGTAATGTGTTTATCAAAAAATAAACTATTTGAGTATCACAATATTTGTACTGTTTGCTTGTGACTGTTAATTTTTTATTAATTAGTATCAAGAAAGTATGAAACCTAGAATTAATTAAATCTTATGACTTTTCAGATCAAATAGCTAAAATTGGCCAAAGATACTATATGAAATAAAGAATTAAAAGACACACACACACCTCAGGTGTTACTGATAAGGGCAAAAGTTTCTTTTGATGACTTTCTTGTGGTTCCTCTTCCAAAATGCTCTCACTGGTGTCACTGCAAGTGGCTTCTTCGCAGCTGATACTCCTCAAAACTCCCCGCCTATCGTCAAATTCAGCAGCACTGCTTTCACTGGTGTCACTACACACACTATTCTCTCTACTTCGAGACTTCAGGATGGATTTGCGAGGGACATATTCTCCATTCACAACATCAACAAAGGCTCTGTGATATTCAAAACACATATACATTCACTGCACGTAACTCATAAAACTGAGAATAACCTTTTGAAAATTTCCTTAAATCTACTGTAGAAATTAATCTGAAAATTTTTATTAAAACCTTGTATCTAAAATAGTCACAATCACAATTAATTTTATAGCCTCAAATGACATTTTCATACTATTTTGAAAGATATTATTTATCTGGCCTAATAAAACACAGCATGTTATTTTTAAGCATGTCCTAGGTGGCAATAGCATGGTTTGCCAAAACTCTACATAAAGTTTTAGACCCACGTATACATTTAGCAGTTTTCACTATTTAATAAGGGTCATAAAAACAGTACGTATTTTCAAGTGATAGTTTTCTCAACAAACAATTCCAAAAAAAAAAAAAAAAAACTGCAACAGTATAACTTCTACTCTGAAAAGGTAAACTGCATGCCAAGAAACCTACGGACCTAGCCCACTGGAAACAAAAATGCATTTCTGAAGATACAAGATTTTCTGACTAGACCATTTGGAAATGTTTCAAAAGCACTGGTGAAGAGGAGAAAGTGAAAAAAAAATTCCTCCATTCCCACTGCTCTGGACTGGGAAGCTATAGCCACTCAGCCTCAGATTCTAAGCTAACTCCTCAGAACACTTCACATTTCAGTGAGGGTCTTCTGTGTTACAAACAACTTTCTCTGGTAAAGGTTCAGTGGCAGAAAGAGAGACAAACAAGGCCAGCAGCCGGCCCTGCAGCTGTGAGCGCCTCCCACCTATAAATGTCAGCAGGTGTCCTGATGGTCGGCAGCTCCTGGGCAGAGTGGCCACTGCCAGTGCTGTTCTTTCGTTTACGTTTGGCTTCTTCTTTCTTTTCACTGAATTTTAAAGTGGTATTCTTCCCAGTATTTATTCGGACCTAAAATTTCAGAGCAAGAAATTAAGAACCTTTTGACAAATTAAATAAAAGTGAAACCCAAACAAATAAACTCTGTAACTAAACAAATAATAGTAAGAGAGGCAGCTGAAATTTTCTGATGCTGAAATGATGTGCATTATCAGATGGAATTTTAAAAAGTCCTTACCTCACAGATCTATGACCTCTAAAGTAAATCTTTAATAACAAATCCTAGTCTTCAGTGTCTTTATTATTGTAGAGAAAGCAAAATACATTTGAACTAAATGCTAGATTTCTTATAAGCTTCATATCACCCGATTCCTTTGATATGTTTTTGGCTTGAATTACGTATTTCAAAAGAAAGAGTATAAACAACAACAAAAAATTCAGTAAGAATATAATCTTTAAGTCATAAAAGTACTATTAAATAGTGCCTATTGAGAATTTTTAAAACATCTCTAACTTTTAGAAATTGAAGGAGTAAAAAAATAAAAACCAACCCTGTTCAGGGTTCACATGGGGTTAACATGTTATTTTTCCTCCCCTAGTCAGCACTTAGACCATACTTTCCACAATAATGCCCACTATTCCCTATAACATTCCTGCAAATAATACTTGTTCTTTCTATCTAAATGAAAACAGGAAAAAAGTAAAAGCCTGGCAAAAGAATCACAAAGCGACCTTTTCTGGCTAATCATCTCAGTCAACTTTTCCCGAAGAATCAGGGGAAGACCCCTTCAGTCTGACATATTAGAATGTAAAAACACATACAATTATTTCACTTCTTATTGGAGCAGGAATAACTCAGGAAGCTAAGAAATATCAAATATGTTTTAAACATATTTCATTAAATAATAATCACACACACTTAAGACTGATACCACAGACCCTTAACTCTGATACAGGCAATTGGGAATATTGTGTAGAAAGGGCACTCACTGAGGCGAAAGAGTTTCTGTTTTATTACCAACCAGATCTATGTCTACTAGGCCTTAAATTTCCCTGAGAAAGACGAATTAGACGAATTCCCAGTGCCTCCTTAGAACAGTACATGGAGCAGAGAGAGGGCAAAGATGGACTTAAGGCAGCCAATCCTTCCTTCAATCGGAGCCAACCTGCTTTGATCTATTTTAAACACTGGGATTCTACAGTAAGTATGGAGGGAACAAAAGGCTTTTCATACTAGAGAAAAGCTTTAAAACTCTGTATTAGAAAATCTCCACAGTCACCCCCAGCTCTAAAATGCCAAAATTCTAAAGTCATGATGATCCACAGATGTTTATATTTACTTTGTCAGAAAAGAAACTAATTTTTACTTTCTCCTACATTTTCCCTTTGTGCTTATGAAGTATTCATTTTATGTCCATAGAAAACAACCTGGCATAATTAAAAATTTAACTAATGCAGTCACTTTCAACATGCTAAGCACACCAAAATATCCACAATATAATTAACTCCAGGATTCTTGAGAAAACTCTCTGAATGAAGGACAGGTGAAGTTACAGTAGTTGCCACTCAAATCTGATCCCCTTCCAGACCCCAAACAATGCATTGTTTCAGAGAACAATGGACCAATACCAGCTAACTAAATTTTTTTTCCCCTTTTTCTTCTTAAATTGGTCAGAACAAGAGGCAAAAGATGATTTTCCTGTCTGGCACTATCTATAATGATAATGACTGTTAATACTACTCTTTTAAAAAATATCATAATGCTTAATGTTCAAATTATATGCAAAATTAGTAAAGTTAAAAGTATACAAACCCTCTTAGGCTCAACAGTATGAGAAAAATATATTGTTGGTATAGAATTATCTCCAACCCCTAAAGCCTCATGGTCATTATCACCATCATGGTCATCAATGTTGTCGTCGTCCTCATCGTCATCATCATCATCACCATCACTGTGGTAAGAACTGGAACCATTTACTGAACAGTTCAACTGACTACTCATTTGAACACTGAATGGTTCTGAACTTGCAACATCCTTATGACAACTGTCCAGAGTATGACAGTCTGTTACTTGATACATTGCATTCACATTTGTGTTATGATCTTCCTTTTCCTCTTCAGAAGATGTCGTATCTTCTCCATTTGCAATCACAATATCAGGCTTACTAGTAAGGGAGAAGAAAATTAACAAGATCAAATAAACATACTAGAATTTTACATTATTTAAATTTCCAGTTAGTTTCCATGGGTAAATACTAAGATCTTGAATAAAGTATTTTTAAAACTAGAATTCTAAGTTCAAAAACAAAAAAATGTTTTGAAGTTAACAAAAAACATTAGTTCCTATGCTGCTTCTATATATTGCAGTTATTCAGACATAAGTAGAATATAGAAGATAATTTTTTTATCTTTGCAAGAAAGATATTGGCCATATGCAATATAAATATAGTACCAATAATAACAAAGTTGTAAGAAATTCAGAGAACATGTCTCTCTACTTAAAGACCAGAAATTGAAACCACATAACCATAATACACACTTATTTTCTACTCCTATACTCAGATTTTACAATGAGCATGTATTACTGTAATTTTAAAAAATAAAGGATTTATACATATGCACATGAATATACTTATATTTATACACACGAGTGAACACTTATCATACTTGATTCTATAAAAGATTTGAGGACCTTACAAAAATAACAAAATCGAAAATGCAACAGAACTGAAATAACATCATACAAAAATAGAGAATCATGACCAAGAAAAATCACAAGATTCAAAACTGGTTTTTAAAAATGAATAGTATCAGTTAATCAAAAAGACCTAAGAATTTATAGGTGAAATGGTAGGAAAAAGAAACTTGTATGCTTCCTGCCCTATTTTTCACAGAAACTAATTATTGCATATGGTACATCATTTAAGCAAAATAATATAGGAACTTCTCGAGCAGCAGACTTCATTTAGCATTTTAACAATTCTAAGTATGTGCTAATGTGTATTTCAAAGAGCAATTTGGTAAAGTTTCTCATACATATAGCTATCTGACCAGATTACAAATTACCTGCTCCAAAGTTTATAAAAGGAAAGCAAGAATAAACACTTTACTGTATCAAACTTAAATTCAAAGGGTATTTCTGTTTTTCACAACACATTCAAAGATAGAGCACTATCCTGGGTGTAGTATAAAAATACTTCATTTAAAATTGAACATTATATACATTAAATCCAAGATTATTAAAAGTCAACTATCTGGTATAATTATACAAAATAGGCTATAATAAAAAAATGAAGATGTTTATCTTAAGTATTAAAGTACATGCACATGCATGGGAATATGCACAAACACACAATCCTGTAAGAAAATATTCCAAAGAATTAATGTTTATCTTGAGGTGAAAGGATTATTGATAATATATTATGCTTCCCTGCATTTTCTTCAATGAACACATACTATTTTATTAATGAAGAAAGATTAATGAGGAAATGTATACAGAAACAAATTATCTTGGAAAGATAATCTGTCATCAAGTACCTATCAAGTTCACCCAGCAATTCTTCTTGTCTCTCTAGTTCTTCAAGTCGAGCCCACAGTTCTTTATCAGCAAGCAAATCCTTGGATTTCACATCATTTGCAATATCTGCTTCAAAAATATCTGAAGTTTTTGGTTTGGAATGCGGTTTATGAGCAATTCGGTGTTTTGCTATTTAGAAAAAGGGAAAGACATGGCTGTTAATAGCCAACATAAAAAAAGCACAAACCCAGACTTAATGAGACTTTCTTTTGGGGCAAGGGAGACATTGAAACAGAGCAGTCACAATTTTTAAGCCAAACAGGAGAACTCCAAGGATGAATGTCTCTTACAGCCTTGCTACTCAAAGCGTGGTCCATGGACCAGCAGCACTGGTATCCCTGGGGAATACTTCAGAAGTGTAAGCTCTAAGGACACCCCAGACCCACCGAATCAGAATCTGTACTTCAACAAGAGCCCCAGAGAATCTGCATGCACATTAAAGGTTGTGAAGCAGAGCTTCAAAAATGCATATGGAGAAATGGCCACAAAGCACCCTGGTTATAAGGTGAAATGCAACACATAAATGATAAATTTCCATTTACCACCCTTACTCAAGGAAATCTAGTTACTACAGTAACATGCAAAAGCCTTGTCAAAGGACACTTTAAACTCCAGGGCGCTGCCAAGGAATGAATACCCTACAAGGAAACAATAGAGGCTCACCTCTGTAAAGTTCTATTATCATTTTACATATGAACATCTCTACTTTTTAAACTGCTTCATTTTATTTGTAATCTTCATGTGAGGAAAGAAGATGGGTCAAATCTGAACTCTGAGTATCTGTTTTTCATTTTAAAAAATAGATTATTTTGTCTTTGTCTTACAAAGACTTATAAAGTCTTTATTTGCTTTATTAAAGCAAAGTAATGGGAAAGTAATGGGAAAAAGTCTAAGATATGTCCTGTTATGAGATATGGCACTACTAGATGACCTCGAGTCCATCATCTACTCAATTTTGCTGCACTGTTGTATAAATCTGAAAATATCAAAATTATGTTTCATAGCCTTATTCTCTGTAACTATTATTGATAAGACAGTAGTTAACAACTTTATTTCAGACCTGTAGCACTCATAATTTATCACTGGTCACCACAAACAAAAATCTTGTCTTTCTGTTCTTTAACATATATCTCCTTTATTTCACCTTCTAAAGCCACTTCCTGTTACTTGTGACATGGCTTCTTTCAACCACTAAGTTATCTTAAAGAGATCATTACCAAAATGTGAGCATTAAAAGTCAAAACAAATGCTTAGTACATTTGTTTAGGACACTGTACAGTCTTCTACAGTAGCAGATAATAAGCCATCTGTAATACTTTTACAATTTCACTACTGTTAACACTTTACAACTGACGAAGGAGCCACCGGCTTTACAGAAGTAAACCCAAACACATAAGCCATCCTTGGCAAAAGAAATCTACTGGGTGGAGATGGGAACAACCTGCGCAGGGAAAGCCACTGCAGGCACCATAAAAGGAATGGCTGAAATACACCCACATTCATTCATTCTTCCAAAGACAGCACACAAAGCTGCAGTTTCAAAAGGAGAAAAACCAGCAAAAGGTATCTTAGGACTTCACCATGGTCAGAGATCAAATCAGGAGCAAATCCATGTCTAGAATACACATCTTCTGAGTTTTAGAGGTTTGGAGCACTGGAGAACTTTGAGAGAAAAAAGCCATGTAATCCCACCACTAAAACAGACCAGTCAGGAATCACATTCTTAACCAAAAGTTACTTATCCATTAGTGTTTCACATAAAAAAAAACTAATGAGTAGAAAAATGTTTGCATCCTATGAATTTAAAAGTGTATTCTAAATCCCAAATATCTCACAGAAAGCCCAGGGAAAATCAACAGAAATCAAAATATCTAAATAGCTACACATAAAACAATCTTACTGCTTACCTTTAAATTCAAAGTCACATTTAATTTCTTCTCTTATGTCAACAATATCACCTGCAGCCTAATTTTTAAACAAACAAAAAAAAAGCATATTAACAACACAAATCTCCAGCATATTAAAATTATCCAAAGAGCATCTATTCAACCTAAGATGTCTGAAAGCATTTTAAACGTCAATTAATTTGTTCCTTGGCTGTAAGACAGCTTCATATTTCTTTGAAAATATTTTCTAAAAATATAGAAGACTAAAAACGAATACGCACATCACTCATTTTCTGCAAATCTTCTGTGAATTCAACTCTGGATTCAAAATTTTTCATCACTTTTTTTAAGTCATCTATTGTTTTTCTTACAT